TCGCTGTCATTTGTCTAGTTCCTTGTGTCCATATTTTTTTTCTCCTCCACATTTCCTTTTCATTGTACATTTTCTGTGTTTTTAATTTAAATTAAATCTCCCATGGTAGCCTGAAGAGCAGGAGCAAAACCGGTTGCTTTGCTCATTTTTTAATATGTCTGGTAATATCAAGCTTCACACTTTTATTTCTGTGATTAAATTTTGTACCTACAAAAATATCTTTAAATATATATATATATTATTTTGTATGTGCAGTACTTAGTGGAAAGAGCTCAATATCAGTGATAGAACTAACATATTCAGGTGTATGGATATGAGTTTGTGACCCTGGGTTTCACACTTTTGCAATCATCAGACAAGCTGGTTTATTTTTTAAAATTGGATCTATTTGTGCTTGTTTGAATATGTTTGGTGGTGGGGGGGTGAAATTTCCCTCTGTGCTTGTTCAGAATGACATTCTCACAGACAGACACACACACATACAGGTGTATACATTTTAGTTCACACAAATACACCCATATAAACAATCCAGCGCTAGGCACAGATACACATCCATGTGCTCGGACATACATACACATGCAATTTTAATTCTATTTCAGTGTCAGGACCATGGCTTTTTATGTGTGGTGATGTTCATTTTACCAAAGGGCAGGTAGGGGTGTTCGTGAAGCTTCTTAGATCTATTGCCTGAGTCATCAGACAAACTTACACTTCCTCTCACACACATACACACATGTAGATGTACACATACACACCTATTGTTCTGGGTATTTGGGTTCTGTTTGTGGTGATGATGATGGGTTCTGTTTATGGTGATGATGATGTTTGTATGCTGACTGCTTGTGTATTATTAATGATTGTGATTATGCTGATAGTGATAATAACTGTGATATTAATTATTATTAATATGTTAATAATAGTTATTGATGCGTTAACAGTAAATTTAGCCTTAGTGATGATGGAAATGAAAGTATGATAAAAAGAAAAAAGTGGATGCAGTAATGACAGTCTTAATTATGATAATAGTTGTGATAACCATGATAATGATGATGATAATAATATTGATGATGACAATCATAATAATAGCAATAATAAAAACAATGTTAAAAAACAGTACTAATGGTAGTTGAGATGTTTATGAAGTGATTGCAGTACTGATAGTGAAAATGATAGTAGTAGTTATTTCCGGTAGATGCATAAAGTGGTAACAATAATATTAATAGCGAAAATGGTAGTAGTTGTTATAAAATAATAATAATTTTCTGGGGTTGCTAATGGTCTTATCTTCTCTGATGGCTACACTAATTGTCATGGTGATGGCCATGATGGTAGTGTAGGTAACTGTGGTGATGGTTTTATCAGTCTGTTTTAATTGCTGTAATGGTGGTGGTGTTTGTGGGTGTGGTGTTAGTGTTGGTAATAGTGCAGGTATTGTTAATGATAGGTGTTGATGGTTATGTTTTGGTGGTTTTGGTGTTCTTGCGTTTTAGTATTCTACCATTTTTTTTTTTGTAGTTTCATTCCTGGCTGTGTTCAGTTTTGTTGTAGATGTTATGGTATGAGTATATATATATATATATATATATATATATATATACACACACACACACACACACACACACACACACACACACACACACACACACACACATGGATTGGACAGATGATTGAAACATGCACGTTAGGTTAAACAATTCAGGTGGGTGGAGGAGGGCTGAATAGCTAGATAGATAGAGTACTAAAAAATTTTCAGCCCAAGTAAGAAGATTGAACATGTGAACTGGAAATATTATAACCATGTTAGTAGTAATAATAATAATAAATGTTTTATAAACTGTTAGCAATTGCATTATTTACATCTTTTCCCCTGCTCTCCCTTTCCCTCCTTCTTTACCTCGCCCTCTCTCTCTCTCAATCACATTTTGTGACTTTTAATGTTGCTTGTATTCTAATGCATTTATGTATGAGAAAGAAAACATTCCAAGCTTTTCAATCTTTTCTATTATAAAAGAAATTAGATTGGTAACACTGATATCTTTTCATATTTCTTTTTATCTTGTTAGTTTTAAGTGGTCATCAGGCAGGGAATGACTCACAAGCCCAGAATGCCTCTGGCATAGCTAGCTTGCTAGATAGATTGTTGAAAAGTTCTCAGCCCAATCAAGAAGCCTTTCCAAAAACACAAATTTGATATTTGGCCAAATGTGGAGATGTGGGCCATGCCATGAATCTCTCAGCACCACCATAGATAGATAGATAGATAGATAGATAGATAGATAGATAGATAGATAGATAGATAGATAGATAGATAGATAGATAGATAGGGTACTGAAAAGTTCTCAGCCCAAACAGGAAGCCTTTCCAAAAATATAAATTTGATATTTGGTCAGATATGAAGAAGTGGGTCATACCAAAATATCTTAACACCACCATAGATAGATAGATAGATAGATAGATAGATAGGGTATGGAAAAGTTTTCAGCCCAACCAAGAAGCCTTTCTAAAAACACAAATTTGATGTTTGGTCATTTGGTCAGATGTGTTGAAGTGGGTAATGCCAAGAATCTCTCAGCAACACCTTAGCTATATAAATAATTATGAACAGGCCAAGGTAGATATGGCTTTGTACGCAACAATCCAAAATAAATACTTATAAACAGATATCAATGGACTGATATAGGTAAGAAAAGGCTGAGATAACTATCTACCTAGCTAGCTAGCTAGCTAGCTAGATAGATAGATAGATAGATAGCTAAAGATCTGTCACATACATGCATGATGGTAGAATTTACAAGTACTTAAAACATATAAATCTGAGTGACAAAGACTCATTCTTCTTCTTCTATTTGCTGTGTCACCTCAGGACATGGGAGATCATGGCTCTCCACAACTTCCTACCCTTTGTAGCTTTTAGTAATATTTTTTTTACTATTTTTTTTAATATTTTTTTTACTATTCTGCCTGTTCTGCCATTCATTTGCTCAAAGCTCATTAGGTAGTTTATTTGCTGATTCCTTTTATCCTTTTTGTCCTGTGAGTGTCAAATTCTCTAAGCTGTCTTTCTTCATTATGTGCCCTAGAAATTTCAACTGTCTCTTTCTAATTCTAAATATAAGTAACTCTTTGTTACCATTGTCCTTAAAACTTCCTCATTCTGACAAAAGCAATAGCATCAGGTCAATCAAGAAGTTTAAAGAAGTTTGGATATTTCATTGATGACCAATCACAGAAATTGTTCATGAAAATCAAGAGGCTCAACCCCCCAAAAAAAAACTCAGTACACTGTAAATTGATGTAGGGATCTAGGCGCCTTTGTGCACTCCAACTGAATTATTAGATTAAATTAAAGATATATTTTTCAGTAATGTGTTTAGCATAGTGGTTAGCTACATGGTAAACGGGATCAGCACACCAAGTTTGAATTCCATTACATTCACTTTCATACAAAGGTATGAATACATTTCTTCTACCCTCCATCTGTGGGTTAAATAGCAGGACAGACTGAGCTTTCTAGCCTTAGTTGGCAACCAGTCTAAGAGAAGGGTAATTCTCACATCTCACCTTCAGTCACTTTCTGACTGTCATAACATAGTTTCCCTGTGCCTTTTCTATAAATACTTTCATACTAATTATTCTGATGAACTTTGGGGTTTAATTTTTAAATGTTACTAGCAGCATGGCCTGGCATTGCCCGTGCTTGATTCAAAAATCGTACAACTCATACAGCAATCGCCATCACTTGGCTTAAAATATTTTTGCCCTTCCTTGCCCTTTGCTGTGCTGATGTTGCTACATGCCTTACTTCTTGCCTATCTCACACTGCAAATTTTTTCTAAGCTCTATACTAAACATTAAAGCTGTTACGAAAAAAGAACTAAACAAAATGAACACAAAAATGATCAGCTTTAAAAAAGGACTCGTAACTGGAAAACCGAATGAAAAAGAATGTTAAGAACAAATACTTTTTCACACCCAACCCAGTTCTGCGGAATCAGAATCAACATTGAGTTTAAGCAAGCGAATGAGCCAATTGGAGTAAAGTGCCATGCAGATTTAAATTTTTCTCACTTGTGATAAATGCAGCTATCGATTTTTTTTGCGTGCTAGCATGCTAGTTAACATTCATGTCAGTCAGCTGTTGGCCCTCATGCTGGTCAATAGAATCTTCCTGCTTATTTGTGTCAGCCAGCTGTTGGCTCTCACTCTGGCCAGTACAAAATGGCCACAAACTACATGAAAACTGCCGTAGAAGCATGAAAAAATTGATTATTTCCACTATCGATGGGAGTTGGGAAATGCAAAGTCAGTTTTGGCCTACCTGCTAACTTGGAGCATGTGTATGTAAATTTTGGTGCAAATCCATCAAAAATTGCGGCCGTGCATTCGTTATACACACACACACATCCTGCCTTTTATAGATAGAGATTTTTATTCCCTGCCCCCACAGACAAATTGTACATATGGGAACTAGTTAGGATAACATAGAAACTTTGAGGTATTATAGTGGCTGTGGTAAAAAAGGTAAGTAAGAATGTGTTGTCTTCTATGGCATGTTTAAGTCAGTAATTGTGGCTAGCTAAGTTTAAGATCAGACAGATTGAAGACCGCCTCTATCCACCTCCTTTTGGCCTTGTGCCACATTTTTGTATTATTCAAAATTAATATTACTTTCCTCTATAGTTCCTAGACATTATGAATTCATTGCAGTACTAGATTGTCAACAAGATTTCATCATTTTACAGTTGAAATGGTTAGATGTAACCATAACTTCTATGCTAACAGTTTCCTCTGTCGCACTTCTCATTTGTGAAACTCTCTTCTGGCTTCTTGCTTCCCAGTCAACTTTGATCTTCAAAAATTTAAATGCAATGTCAATCATTATCTACTGTCTTCTTAATTCTCATTTTTTAATTTTCTCTCTTTTTAATAGTGATTTTTTCTAATATTCATTAGCACTCAGTAACCTCCTGCTTTATTGCCTTGCTTAGAGTGAAATGATTAAAAAAAAAAACAAATTGGGTGTGGTCTGGCAACTATTCTCTGTAAAAAACCTACTTCCTATAGAAACCATGGGAATGACATTAGCATGGCATGGTTGTGTCCACTAATGGAATGAGAAGGACTCATGGGAAAAAGACTTGGCTATCTTTCTTTCATTTTTTTTTTTTTTTTTTAAGCGTTTCACCCCAAGCAAGGCGGAAAGCCACTAGGACACAAGGGGTTACAGAAAATTTGCAGCAAGGTCAAATAGGAGTAATAGAAGAAAGGATGAGGAGAAGAGTAGTGGATAGATCAAAGCAACTGGAGATACAGAGGCCAGTGAGAGAGAGAGAGAGAGAGAGAGAGAGAGTACCGGAAACCCCTTCCTGAACAAGAAACAAGGCGTAAGCCTCTACTCATGTCCAAGAAAAGGGGGAGGAGTGTGGACCAGGCGGTAAGAAAGCCTACCTACTCCTATTAAATTTTTCTGCAGTCAGAGTGAAAATCTCATGTACATTTATTTTGAAAATGTAAAAATGCTCAAGAATTTTTCCCATAAAAATTAATGGGAAATGCTTCTTTGCTTATACTTTTTAAATTCATGAAATGATTTATAGGAAAACTTTATAGCTTGGGAAACCTATACTACTGTAGTGAGTTTAGTCAGGGTTAGTGCATACTAACTCCAAAGCTCTGGGTAGTACTTTGTGACCCTCACTATCTTATCAACATTTGCTTTTTGACCTAAATTTATATATGTTACAAATTAAACTAAGCAGAACTGACTACTGAGGATGAAAAATGTTACTGTGAATTTGTTTTGCTCATGCTAAGTCTAAAAAAAACACAATATAAAATTTACTGTTTTTTATCTATAATGTTGAATGTGTTAAAATTCTTAAACTTTTTAACACAAAAAATTTCAAGTTGATGCTTAAATTTTCCACAAAACAATAATAATAATTTGTATTTAGATACATTGTATTTATTTTCACTTGTTCTAGTCAAATTATTCACCTATATTGAATGTGATCCATTATTGTGCATAAGTAGTTTACAATAAAATTTGTATTTCATATGAATACTACCGGAAAATTGAGATGGAGTAGAGTGGTAGAGGTCTGTATCATAGATTCAGAGGAGACCCACAAGATCCTTGCACCAGTCCTAAATTTAGTCCTTAATGTTTGTTCCACACTTGTAGAATAATGACATCAACTTATTAAGTCACTGTGTTTGAACAATTCAAGTATAGGACAGAACTGAAGTTCATCAATTTGTACAATCAAATTATCAAGTCATGGTGGAATATGATAATAAATAAATTATGATGATGCATTGGCCAAAAATTATATCAGGATGTAACATACAGTCATGTGTTTAGAACCAAAGTAAGTAATGTCAAGAAGGTGAATAATAAAATTTTTCATCTCCCACAGACAAATTGTACATTCTGGTACAGAAAGAGGTCTGTCACCAGAGTTGAGAAAACAGCATTTAATTAATTGTGAGATTTGCAGTGAGGTAGTTCAAGGAGAATTTCTTTAATATGTACACACACACACACACACACACACACACACACACACAAAAAAAAAAAAAAATAATGGTTAACAGTGTAAAGAATGGAACTTGTAATCCAGGTTCAAACCCCTGCTGTCACAAGTTTGTGTTTACTTTGTGCTATTATCCTTGGGAAAGGCATGAAACTATTTCTTCTCCCAATCTCGAAATGGATAATTTGCAGAACAGACTGAGCTCTTTAGCCTTGGTTGGCAACCAGTCAAAGAGAAAGAGAAAGATAACTCTGATTTCAAACGAGGGTGGGTAAAGGAAAAAGTTAGGTACAGGGTTATCAACTTTACTTTGTAAGATCTACTACCTACTAAAACCACTATCTGTCTTATGCACCACAAACAGTCTGCAAGAATAAATAATGAAAAACATTATTTCAGAGTCTAGAAGGTTCATCTACTGAACAAAACTGAAACATGTACCAACAACCTTCTCCAGGTGTACACTCCACTAGAAAAAAGATATGTCTTTTTTCTACAGATGGTTGATTGGTTGGGTTGACTGATTTTACAACATATCAACATTTGTTGGGTTGTTTAATTAGTTTATTTGAATCTCATAGTATTTACTTAGTTTGGAATAGGTAAATATTACTCATTTATATTTGAGCCTTATAGTGTTTACTTGGTTTGGGATAGGTAAATATTAGTTGTTTATATTTGGGCTTATAAGCTTAGTTTGTGGCTAGGTAAATATTAGTAATTTATATTTAAGCCTATATGCATTTACTTGGTTTGGGATAGATGAATATTAGTCATTTATATATGAACCTAATAGTGTTTACTAGTTTTGCAATAGGTGAATATGGTCCATATTATCCACAGTAATGTTCTATAGAACTCCATCTATTGTCTCAAGTCTCCTTTTCATCTGTGAGGAAATTGTCACTGCCATATAGGAGAACTGATATTATATAACCGCTCAGTATTCTTTTCTTTTTTTCTG